TTTTTTTTTTGTCTTCTTGTTTGTACTTTTTGGTGTTATTTTTGATTGTTGTTTTTGTCTAACTGCATGGGAGACAGCAGCTATGCCCACATGACCCAACTATACCTGCACCTCCTGCAGCCTCACCTACTGAGTGAGGGTCCCCATTTGCTTCTGCACCAACTGGCCAACAATATATGATATCCAATACCAGCCAACTCACCTTTAACTGTTCTTCACAAACAGCTAACAGAGATCTGTGCACCCACTCTCATTCTCTATCACACCCACCAGGAAATAGGTGGTGAGTGAACAAGTGCTGCCAACTAGCTAAAGAAGAACACAGTATCCTGTTTACTCAGATACATCAAAACAAAAACAGGGAAAAAAAAAATCTTGAGTGAATCACAACAACATACAATCACAAATTAAACATAAATACAGCAGTGTCAAAATGTCACAATGTCTTGGAGACAACAGACCATCACAGTCCATGCCAAGAAGCCATATAAAGTAGAAACAAGGACCAGGATACAGCCCAGAAAAGATCCCTGAGGAAGTGGCAGCGTTGGAAGTACCTGGTAAGTAATCCAAAAGAATTATATTTAGGTACCTTCAACAGATTGAGAGATGGGTCAAAGAAAACACTGAAAAATTAAGGAAAACACAGACGAAACCCTAGAACAATTTGGGAAGACAATACAAGAACAAAATGACAAAATAAGTGAAAAACTAGAAACAATACAAAATCTACAGCTGGATATCAGAAGATTAATACAAAATTTCAGAAATAGATAACACAATGAATGGGTGAAGAAGGAGAACTGAATTAATGTTGTTGTTGTTGTTAGGTGCCGTCGAGTCATTTCCGACTCATAGTGAACCCATGCACAACAGAATGAAACACTGCCTGATCCCGCGCCAGCTCCATGATCCTTGCTATACTTGAGCCCATTGTCGCAGCTACCGTGTCAATCCATCTTGTTGAAGGCCTTCCCCTCTTTTGTCGATCCTCCACCTTACCAAGCATGACATCCTTCTCCAGGGAATGGTCCCTTCGGACAACATGACCAAAGTAGGTGAGACAAAGTCTGGCCATTCTCGCTTCCAAAGAGCATTTCAGCTGCACTTCCTCCAGGACAGATCTGTTAGTTCTTGTAGCAGTCCATGGTACTTTCAGCATTCTTCGCCAGCACCATAACTCAAAAGCATCAACTCTTCTTCAGTTTTCCTTATTCATTGTCCAGCTCTCACATGCATACGAGGCGATTGGAAATATCATGGCTTGTGTCAGGCGCACCTTGGTCCTCAAGGAGACATCCTTGCTCCTCAGCACTTGAAAGAATTCCTTTGCAGCCAACCTGCCCAGTGCTACACATTGTCTAATGTCCTGACTGCTGCTTCCATTGGCATCGACTGTAGAACCAAGCAACGTGAATTCTTTGACAACCCCGATCTTTTCTCCATTTATCGTGATACTGCTTATTGGTCCAGTTGTGAGGAGTCAGCTGCAAGGATCCAGGTGAGGAGCGGGAACCCAGGCCACACCCCATAAGTGGCAAGGTGGGAAAGCAGGGAAAGGACAGAAAAGGCAAATGGGACTGGAATAGATAGAGGAGTCAGCTGTAGGGATCCAGGTAAGGAGAGGGAACCCAGGCCACGTCCCATAAGCAGTAAGGTGGGAAAGCAGGGAAAGGACAGAAAAGGCCAAGAGGACCAGGTCAGAGTGAGGAGTCAGCTGCAGGGATCCAGGTAAGGGTGGTTGGAGAGGTTTTCAATAGGGAGACAAACTTGTCTGTTGGTTTGTCCTGTGGTGATGTGTTGTTGTGAGCCTTGAGGTTGTGCCACTGGTGTTTCAAACCCAGTGGGGTGCACATGGTACATAGGTATCAGCCCGACTTGCAGACTGAGACAGACTAGGAAGAAGGAGGAGGCCATCCACTTCTCAAAGAATTGGCCAGGGACAACTTTATGAATAGCAGAGAACTGAATCAATGGACGACAGAATTAGTGAGATTGAAGACTCAATACTACTTTGGTAAGGGATCAATCAGAAAAAAGATCAAAACAAAATGAAGAAAGTCTAAGATTCATGTAGGATACCATCAAGAGAAATAACCTATGTGTAATCAGAATTCCAGAACAGGATGATGATAGATCATCATCAAACTCATCAAAACCAAAGACAAAGAAAGAATCCTAAAAGCAGCACGAAAAATGAGATGTTACCTACAAACGGCAATCAATAGGACTAAGCCCCGATTTCTCAGCAGAAACCACACAGGTGAGAAAGCAATGGGATGATATATATAAAACCCTGAGAGAAAAAAAATTCCAACCAAGAATTATATACCCAGCAAAACTATTCCTGAAGTATGACGGTGAAATTAGGATAGATAAACAGAAATTAAGGAAATTTGTTAAAACCAGACCAGTCTTATAAGAGATGCTAAAGGGAAGTTAACTTACCTCTCTAGCTCAACTTTTAGCCAAACAACAGACAGCCTATAAGGTGAATGCTATCACCAGGGAGGTATGCAATCCCTAGAACAACCAACCACACAAGCTCAAAAGGGGAGCATTTGCCCAGGGATAAAGTTCCAAAGGCAGGAAGGGGTAGGAAAGGACGAATGGCAACAGTAAGTGAGGAGGAAGTGGAAAGAATGCTGTTACATCGTGGGGATTGTACTCAACATCATAAATCAAAATGTGTATGATTGACTAGAAAACCCATGTGGCTCTGTAAGTTTTCACTTAAATCATAATAAAAAGTTACCAAGAAAGGATTTTAAAAGTAGGCATAACACTGAAAAGTTTTTAAATTAAAACATTCCACCCAAAGTACAAACTCACCTGTATTCCAGCATGGCTACAGAGGTAAAAATCAAACTCATATGGGTGTGTAATATCTGTATCAACTGTTGTTCCAGCTGGAATATTGCCACTTCTTCCAACCTAGATTTGTTTGGTCAAATAAGACAAAGATAAAGAACATGCCTAAAAGCATTTTTCACAAATGTATATGGCTTATCCCATGTTTCACTACTTTCAGTTCGAAAAATTACTTAAGCAAGCATTAAGAGCGGAACTTATTCTATTCTTGGTTCCTAGTCTTTTTTTTTTTTTTTAAATCCTACTTTTATTTTTATTTGCATTTTATTTTATGGTGAATTTACTACTGAGCTATAAGTTTTTGTTTTTTTCAGTTTCTTCTGGGATTATCTTTTTCTTCTGTTCAACCTCCTCTTGTGGTTTAGGGTCTTCATGTGGCAGGGGGAGCTCATATACCAGCTTTATTCACCTATCTGTGCTGAATGACCAGAGAATCTACATCTAAACCTTAAGGTTCAGCATTACTCTCTACATTTTTAAGTACGTGCAGTAAAAATTCAGCACTTTTTTTTGGCTCCCATCTCTATGTCTAGTCCCATTGTTTGGCCTGGGCGCACCTACCAATTCTACCATTATAATGCTAGGTGGCACTTATTGCTTCTGTAAAGTGGCATCTTTCAGAAATTTTGTGGCTTTTCAGATGTGTATATCCTTGATGGCTTGGGTAGTTTCATGGATGTTCTTAGAATGGACCTGAAGATTTGAATCTCTTTATTTGCATGATTTTGTGGGATTTACTGGGTCAAGTGAGTAGCAAGCCATTTTGAAAGATCACTGTAGGCTGCCTATCTTATGGGAAGAGCCTGGTTTCTATTCTTTGAAGTTGCTGAGAGAGTTCATACGTTACAAAGAGTTATAGAGGCTCTAGAGCTGCTTAGCTGGCAGTCGATCCCAATATGGGTGGAAGACATTTTGTTAATTGTTACTGCTCCAATTTATGGTACTTGTGCACAGTACGTACCCTTGAATGTGTAACTTAGGAAAATTAGCATTTTCCTGGGAAAACATATTTTTTGAAATAATGCCAATAACATCATCAATAAAAGCCACCATTTGTTAATAAGCATTTATGTGCTAGGGTACATACACTATTTCTAATCCTCATAATAATCCTGCAAGTTAGTTATTATTCTTACTTGTTTTAGGCAACTAACACTCAGGTTCTATATGCCCAACAGAAAACAATAAAGTCCATAATTGGGATTCAAACACTGAAATCACCTCAAAGCCCTATTCTTTTTTATTTCATATTATCAATTTCAGTATCTTGTAAGAGAACAAAGTCATGATTTTCTCTAAGTGGATATGATGTGACTGAAATGATTCTAATTCCTGATAATGAAAAGTTCCTAGCAAAATACTTTAAAATGCACATGTGTACCATACTTCATTATCTCCAATACATTGAAAATCACCAACTATAAGGCTAGGTTTACAAGGCTGGCAAATCACAAACTATTTCACTGACTCAGACATTATTTCTGCTATGTGAGGGACTACCATTAAGCAACAATTTGAGTTATAGACGTGTGGACCACCTGACTAGCCTTTCCTAAGCAAAAAACAAAGATAACAGTTCACAATCCACTCAATTATGCCTATTTTAAAAAACCTAAATAATATGTATAAAAAGTTATTTAGAGAGACACTGAAATGCCTAGTTTCATATCATAGCTTCACCATTTATAGTTGTGTGATCTAGCACAAGATATATTAAACCTCTTCATGCTGCTGTTTCCTCATCTATAATTATTCACCCTTTTGGGCAATCTACTTCCGCAGTGATACCGCCTCACAAACCCAAGGAGGGGTCTCTATGAGTTGGATCCAACTTGATGGCAGTGAGTTAGTTATTATCAATAGCATTATCTAGAGCAAGGGCGAAAGAAAATTCAAAAAAATGAAGGCCTGTCACAACTAAACATCAGATGCTAGTAATGATTAAATCTAACTTATATTCTCCTAATCCTCTTTTTGAAGAAACTGTTGGTGTTTTAGGTATAGAAATGGACCTAGTAATTTGGGATCAAAGGACTTTTACAATCTAGAAGCTATAATAAAATTATAACTACTGCTATTGTTGTTGTTGTTAGGTGCTGTCAAGTCATTTCCGACTCATAGCGACCCCATGCACAGCAGAACAAAACACTGCCTGATCCTGCGCCAGATCCACAATCCCTGCTATACTTGAGCCCATCATCACAGCCACAGTGTCAATCCATCTCGTTGAAGGCCTTCCCCTCTTTTGTCGACCCTCCACCCTACCAAGTATGACATCCTTCTCCAGGGAATGGTCCCTTCT